GTGAGGCCACAGCTGGAGTACTGTGTCCAGTTTTGGGCTCCACAATTCAAAAAGGATGTGGAGAAGCTTGAGAGAGTCCAGAGAAGAGCCACGCGCATGATCAGAGGTAAGGGAAGCAGACCCTACGATGACAGGCTGAGAGCCCTGGGGCTCTTTAGCCTGAAAAAGCGCAGGCTCAGGGGTGATCTGATGGCCACCTACAAGTTTATCAGGGGTGACCTCACCAGAGCGCCCCAAGGGATGATGAGGTCGAATGGTCACAAACTACTTCAAGATCGTTTCAGGCTGGACATAAGGAAGAACTTCTTTACTGTCCGAGTCCCCAAGGTCTGGAACAGCCTGCTGCCGGAGGTGGTTCAAGCGCCTTCATTGAACACCTTCAAGATGAAACTGGATGCTTATCTTGCTGGGATCCTATGACCCCAGCTGACTTCCTGCCCTTTGGGCGGGGGGCTGGACTCGATGATCTTCCGAGGTCCCTTCCAGCCCTGATGTCTATGAAATCTATGAAATCTATGAATCAATTCAGAGATATTCAGACATAGACACAGCTTTAAATGTTTTTTCTACATACCTCTAGGTAGCAGGCAGCTCATGAATGCTGTGATGCTGGGGCAGATGGAGTATCCCACAGAAGTACGAGGGGCTCCCCAGTGCACTCAGCAGCGACCCAGAAGTGGACTAGAAGCACTTCTGGTCCATTTCTGAATCCACTGGAGAGCACACGGGAGGGCCCCTCTGTGCTCTACCAGATCAGCGACTGGTGCCTCCTGGGTCTGGAGAGGGAACCCAGCGTCCCCCTGTGACCGACTGCTGAGCTGGAGAGGCACAGGGGGGCCTCCTGCGTGCTCCCCGACAGACCTGGAAGTGGACCAGAACTACTTCTGGTCCACTTCCGGGTTCACCACCAAGCATATGGGCCCCCCCCCGCACTCCTATGGGATGCTCCATCCACCCCAGCATCGCAATGTTCATGAGCCATGCTGGCACCTCAAGGTATGTAAACATTTAAAGCTGTGTCTATGTCTGAATTGCTGATTCTCCGAATCAGTATTGAATCTTCAGATTCGGCCAAATCGAATCAAGAACAGTGATCCGAATCAATGAATCGAATCACTGTCCCCGATTCGGGCCAAATCTGAATCCAAACTGAATAGGGCCTGTTTCACACACCCCTTATAAATAACTCATTAACTAACAATGTATCTTTAACAATTCATTTTTAACATGATCTGTGCTGTTGCATAGGACCTGCATGTGGATCTCTCCTCAAGGACACCAATGTCTCAAGGCAACTGTAATTCCATTTATTCTAATTGTGTTGTGTCTTGGGGCTCAGCTCTCTCAGCTTGCCCTAGTTATTGCCTGCCTGTGACTTATCTCTAGCAAAATTAATGACTTAGTGCCTCTTTCCTTTCTCCCTTTTGGGGTTGAAGAAGGTGTTTGGTTATTTCTATGAAGTGCATGCACAAGTGAGGTGATAATTTCATATAATCATGGGACTACCTCTTGTGATATTCCTGTTATCTGTGAACATTATTTCCCATCAGCTTCATTATAATTAAGCAGTGGAAGTTCCTACTACCCCAAGCTATGTCAAAGTTTTGTTTAGCCTTAAGTTTTATTTTGACTTACTCAAAAGGTGTGTGGTAACCCATTTTGCAGTAGCATAACTAGGCTGGGGATGACCAGGGCACCAGTCCTGGCTGCCAACTTGGCAGAGGGAGGGATACAAAAATAGCCGCTACACTGCTTCCCTGGCTGCCTCTATCAGTAACCCAGGTGCCGCTCCTGTTCTATGTGCTACCATCACGCAGGGTGCAAAACTTCCCAGTTATACCTCTGCCACTTTCTTATATGACACATTTGTTGTGTAGGCAAGCTCATTCACAGACCATGCAGAACTGACTGCTTTTTGTTTCTTTTTACAGGTACCATTTTCTTATAAGAATTTTATCATTGCTAAGTAACTGAAATGTCCTCAGTTTAGATTATTTTTTGGCTGAGAATTAATTTAGTGATCCATTTGGAGCAAGTTTATCTGATTCCTTAAATTACAATTTCTTAGGATCATAGGAAAGTAGGGCTGGAAGGGACCTCACAAGGTCATCTAGTCCAGGCCTCTGCTCAAGACAGTTTAGTCAGGGATGATCCTATTTCAGCCAAGTGTCTGTCTAACCTGCTTTTGAAAACTTCCAAGGATAGAGATTCCATAGTTTCACTAGGTAACTGGTTCCAATGCTTGACGGCTGTCGTAGTCAGAAAATTCCTCCTAATCTCCAACCTACATTTCCCCTGCTGAATCCATTGCAGGCCATTGCTCCTAGTCCTGACCCCTACAGTCACAGAGAAAAGCCCATCGTCATCTTCTCTATAATCACCCTTCTTCAGGCATTTAAAGATTGTTATCAAGTCCCCTCTCAATCTTTTCCAGACTAAATAACCCTAGTTCTTTCAGCCTTTGCTCATAAATAGAGATCTACCAAAATTGATGTGGCAGATGGGTGACTTTGTGGGCTGATCGCAGCGCTGGCCATTTTTGTGGGCATCTTAGACAGACAAGTACAATTTTAAAACATAAAATATTCTCTTTTACCTTCTCTTATTCTTTCCAGATATATCTGGATCTGCCTAATAATAATTTGAACTTCCTTGACTATTTTGTTCCAGATCCACCATTTACTTTGTGATGCATCAGCCACACACCAGTTCTGATGTTCCTTATCATAATAAGTCTTAACCGCATCTATTTGCTGTCTGTAGCAAGAATTCCGAATAGCTAGAATCTGTGCACTGTCATGGGCAGGATATGGAAGTCTAAAGACAATAAAAAATAATATTTATATTAGAGGACTGGAAAGTATACATATACATATACATATAGATAGATGTATGTATGTATGTATGTATGTATGTAACTATTTTCTGATTCTGATCTGTATATTTTAGAGGTTATTTTAATAGTGTTTTTAAAAATTCTGCTTATGAAATACAGCTTTGTTATTAAGAATGACATTGCCAAGAGGACAGGAAAAAATCCACTATTCTTATTAATTTTGAGGAGCCAAATGGGTATCCAGGAACAAAGCAAATTATGCTATGTTTATTTTCTGACTGCAGTACTTGTATTTTGAAAATAACTTAGAATGTGTTAGCACGTTTACTGACATATTGTAATATACCTTTAAATTCTAGTGCATATACCAAAGCTTGTGACACTTAGAAGACAGAAGGATCAATTGTTTATTTGAAACTTAAACTGGTAGACTTAATATAATACTACCACAGATTTTTGTTTGGAGATAAGAAGTAGCCATAATCTTTTACTATGTTTTAGTAAAATACAAGCTCTAAACTCAGGAAATATCTATCTATCTACAGTTTATTACACACACATATATATAAAGCTAGTTCAAATAATCTAAATTATCTCAAACTGGAATGTTATGTAAAACTCTCAGAACAATTTTAACTAGAACCTAACTAGAGGCACTGCAGTGGTGATCCCTCACGGTCATGGATAATTATGGCTCTCCAGTTGGGTAAGATAAGGTGGGACAGCCTATGTTTAGGGCACCTTTTCTAGCTACCTCCCCTTGCAGAGTGGGCAGAGGGGACCCCAAAAAGGACTGTTCAGTTGCGACCACAGCTATCGAATCACCCTCCTGTCCTATTCCAAGGGTGAAGCGACCAACATGTGACCACTGCCTGTGTTTGGATCTGTGACTAGGGACTCCCAGCCATCACTTCATCTGTCCCCATTGCCACTTATCCACTACCACAGGGCATTGTAGAGGTCTGGGTATTAGTGATTAGTTATTGTGGTAGATGTTGGGTCCAGTGGGAGAAGCCTACATGTGACTTTTTTATGTGAGAAACCTGTTGTGTATTGGCAACCACATGGATCTTGGTGGAGAAGAAACCTGTGTCCAGTGGCAAGGAGATCCAAGATGATGTGGGATACTTGTCCACTGCTGCCTTCATCTGCCTTCACAGCCATTGAGAATGATGCCTTCTGCATCTGCCGCTTCACCATTGAAGTCTTTATGTTATGTTGGAAAAAGAGCACTTTGTCTGATATCTCATCTTTAACCATACTGCCATGGGTGACCCTACCAGGACTACAAGACCCCTGACAGTGTTGCTCTTAGGGTCATTGATACACGCAAACCTCTCCACCCCATCAAGGTGGCAGTCCATGGAGAGGTAAAAGTATGAATACCTAGTCTAAACTGTAGAGTTATAAAGGCTCTTAATTCAAACAGTGCTAAAAAGCTTATATTAGCTTTTTTAACCATAAGTTACATCCCCAGGCAGTGCTACCTTTTATTATTTACTGGGGTTGTGCATTTGAATTGTATAAATAAGCCTAGAAAATATAATTACTTTGAAATGAAAGATGTAATTTCTAAAGTAAAGTCTTGAAAAAGATAGTGCTACATGATGTTTTTGTGATGCAAATGGAGTTTCAACTTTCACTTTACAAGCAGTGTAGTCATTGCTTGATTAGCAAATGAGAAATTCAACAACATTATAAGCAATCTGGAAATTCTTATAAACATTTCACCTAGTTTCATAGTTGGTAGGGTCGGAAGGGACCTGAGCAGATCATCAAGCCCGCCCCCCTGCCATGGCAGGTCTGCCAGCTTGTGACCGTTATTTCTTGTCACCCCTGGTAGTGCATTGGGGGAACAGGGACTCCCCCAATGCCTGCTAGTCCCCCCTGACTAGTTTGTAAATGGCCACTAGATCCTCCCTCAGCCTTCTCTTGTGGAGGCTGAACAGGTTCAGGTCCCTTAACCTCTCCTCGTATGGCCTGCCCTGCTGACCCCTGATCATGTGAGTGGCCCTCCTCTGGACCCTCTCCATGTTGTCCACATCCCTCCTGAAGTGCGGCACCCAGAACTGGATGCAGTACTCCAACTGCGGCCTGACCAGTGTCGCATAGAGGGGGAGGATCACCTCCTTGGACCTGCTTGAGATGCATCTATGGATGCATGACAAGGTGCGGTTGGCCTTCCTGACTGCTTCTCCACACTGTTGGCCCATGTTCATTTTGGCATCAATAATGACTCCAAGATCCTTTTCTGCCTCTGCACTGATGAGAAGGGAGTTTTCCAGCCTATAGGTATGCTGCTGGTTCTTCCTCCCCAGGTGCAGCACCCTGCACTTGTCAGTATTGAAACCCATCCTGTTCTCATCCACCCACCCCTGTAACCTGTCTAGGTCCGATTGCAGTCTATTCCTCCCTGTGGAGGAAACACCGTTCTTTCCAAGATGTCCTAATGTGGGCATGGTTTTTATCCAATTTAATTTTAGGTTGAGTGTTCTGTTTTTTTGGTGCCCTGTCCAGGTAACTTTCTGCTGTTAATCAAAAAGCAGACTGACAGGATTTAAGTCTGAATATTTATCTCATCAAAAAAGAAAAGAAGTGAAGGAGAAGTTTTCACTGAAAGGCTTAGATAAGTAATTTATGCATTGAACTTTGGATAAGTAAAATATATGTTACTCCTGTCCTTTAAAAAGTCCTACATTCATGACTGTTAAGGAAAGAGAGAGATTATTACTTTATAAACAGAGAATATCAATTTTGCGGATTATACTAATTCTTTGTTGGTAAGTAATAAAATCCAGTAGCAGAACTGGCATTTTGTTTTTCATGCTTCTTGGCACTCACGAGACTATGGTGACCCAGAACACAAAAGTAACCTCACAGGGCATGTCTACATGAGATATTTACTATGGAGCTGATGAATTAGCTTTGTAGTAAATGTCTCAGTGTCTACATGTGTGTCCCTATTAGGGTGCACAAAACTAATAAACTCTGCAGCACGGTAGTACTTGTAAATTAGTAAATTGTAGTACTACCCTGTTGTGGAGTGTTTTCATTTGCAGCAGGGCATGTGTAGATGCTGACCTGGCTGGGTTCAGTAAGGGCCTGTCTGCTGGCTAGCCCCTCATTGAAGTTCCTTTGTGCCCCAGCCAGCCCCTTTGCAGAACATGGAGCCAGGGGGAGCAGCTACAGGCTGGCAGGATCACCCCCAGGGCCCTCTGCCAGCTGGGGCTGCTCCAACTGGGTTTCATATGCTGCTCATGAATAATCAGGTCCAGAGTTAATTGCTCCCATGTGCACATTCCAAAGGTGTGCCCAGGAGCAAAAACCTATGGAGCAATAAGCTCAAGAGTTTATTCACGTGCACTAATTGCATGTGTAGACACACCCACTGAAACCTAGGTAGATACTTTGAGAGAAAGGACAAGATTTACATGGATAAAAACATTGCTTGCAATGAGCATCACTACCCAGGAGTTCTTTCCTTATCCTGTAATGCTCTTCTAAACACCTCCTTTGCATCCATTTGTAGCTCAAAGATTTTCACTGGGATTATTCTCATTGATTCCAATAGGTTCACTTGCTTTCTTGTTACAGGATACCCATCAATAACAACTCTGTATAGAACCAACACATAAAAAACCCTGTTAGTTTCTAATTAACCATTATAAATTAACAGTTCATATATGCAACATAATTTTAACAAGAACAAAATCTAAATGAAAGACCTCGTCCTGCTTTCCATGATGTACAAACTTCTAAAAAACAATCCCCAATTCACAGAGTTTAATTAAAAATACAAGTAGGTGTAACAAGCAGTAAGACAGGAGTGCAGGGATTAGGCCAAGAAGAAAGGTGATAGGAACATGTAGTAATGCAGACTGGTAGTGTGTACAACTCAATGGTGGAGTGTCCTAAAAATGGTGTAGTCCTAAATTATAAGACATCTGTCACATAACTATTTTTGCTATCTGCAGCCTCCACTGGCCACCTACATCACTGATTCGCATCCCTCTTTGACATGTGAAGAGATACACTTGAGCAGCTATGTGCAGGCTCAGGTCTGTCCCTGTCCCTGTTCCTATCAATCTACCACCTCCACTCCCCCATTGCAGTCACAGGTTCCTCTGTCTCTGCAAGGAAGTCTAAGCACTCTAATATGTACATTAGTTTTTGAAAGCGAGTGCCACTTATTTCACAAAAGTTATGAAACAGTGCTTCAAATCTAATGAGGAATGCCTCAAGCCCCAAAAGGCTGTGAACTACTGATATACATACTTATTGATATGAATACAGACTGGCTAGTAAGAGATAATATTTAAGGTAATTCCTAATATTTTACTTAATGGTTTGCCTAATCCATACTGAAGAAGAAATACAGTTGTCACATGTTAGAGAATATTGGTGTAACATCTACCAAAACAACATTCCAACAGCTACATTAAAAAGGACCAGTTGACAGACACCTGTTCTCAAAGATTAAAACTGAATTTCAAAGATTAGTATGGAATGTGATTTCCTGGGAGAATTTCCCTACTACAGGAAAGAAAGTAGCAGAAGCTAATGAGAAATGATGAAGTGACAGGGTGCTGTTACAGGTTACCTTTAAACTATTCTAAATCTGTGCAATGTTAGGCAGTGTTAAAGTTAGAATAGTTTCAGAGTAATTGCAGGTTAAGGCTTAATGCTATCTGTCCTGTACAACTGTGACTTGCTTTTCCTCACTTTCAGGTGCCTCTGGGATTTGTAGTTCACAACTGCAGCCAGCAATAAATTTTAGTAAGTTTAGCAGCAGGGGAGTTCTGTACTTGGGGAAGGTGGGTTTAATCCCCCTCCCTGGCCCCATACCCCAGCTGGGCTTGCCGGGGGGTGGGGGGTGGAGGGCAGTCCTTGCCTCCCCCCACAAAACCCTTCTCTGTTGGAACAGACAGCACAGCCCAGCTCAGGGCTGGAAAGCATGCTGGGATGCTGGGGGACTGTGATTTAACTTGAACCAGGAAGGGCTCTGGGACAGAAGTTTCATAAGCCAGTTTGACCCAAATCAGTTAAGTCTGATACTACAGTCAACCAGGTTTATTTTAAACCAGTTTAAGCCATTTTAAAACTGGTTTATGTGTACTGAGCTACTGTTCTGTTAAAGGTTTAAACCTGTTTCTGATGACTTAATCCAATTTATGTGTAACTTCTGTCCCTAGCCCTGGAGTTCCTGGAGCTGGCAGTATGATGCCACGTAGGCTAGGGCCATACTCTCTGGGGTCGTGTGTTGGCTTGAGGTCAGTACCACCCCCTAAGCAGTGGAGTTTGGGAGGGTGGCAAGTTTTTTTACAGCTAGACAGGCTGAAATCTGTACATCCTGGAATGCTGAATGACTGCAAATTACTCACTTTATTTCCATAGAGAAGACTAGCAAAACCTTAAGCTAGGTAGTACTGTTCAAATATAACCCTCACCTGAAGTGGCATAACTTTAAGATGCTTTGGGGGACACTTAGAATGGTTTAACACCCTTTAATCAATGTACACTTCTGTTTTAAGTGCCTTTAGAATAGTTTAAAGGCTACTCCAAGATGCTTTTTAGTTCTGACCAGCTTGGTGGGTGGTTCCATGCTGGAACGACCCCCAAAAAAGCCCCAGAAAATGAAGCCCCAGGAAATGAAAGTTCCATAAGAAATAAGGGATGGAAGAAAAGCAGTTTCTTGCTGCTTCTAAATAAACTTTAAACACTAAAATATTAAGAGCAACACCTACAACAACAACAATATTAATAACAACAACAACAATATAGTAGAGTGGTATGAAGTTCTTAATTGTTGGTCTGCACTGCCAAAGAGAAAGGGACAAGTCTTAACTGCTTCAGGTATTTGCTATAAGAGAGCATATTCAGTTTACATTGGAAAATACTGTCCTTTTGGTTGAATGAGTTACTTTAAGAAAATGTGAAATATTAAGAGGCGGAAAGCTGAATATTTGGCCAGTGTCAGTAGGCAGCTATTTGATCCAGCTTCAGATCCAGCTGCTTTGGATGCCAGCAATCTGATCCGGAGCTCCGGGCCGGGTTCCCGCTGCTGACAGGCAAAACTTGTGACATGGGTGCTTGTGCAACTGCCTGTCTTAGGGCAGTTGATTGTCTGTATTGATTATTTCCTCTCCTTAGTTTGTGGTTTTGTAGGTGTTAATCGTTGCTCGTTAACTTGTTAACACCTACAAAACCACAGACTAAGGAGAGGAAATAATACAGAAAATCAACTGCCCCAAGACAAGCACAAGCACCCATGTAACAAGTTTTGCCTGTCAGCAGCCAGAGGTGCAGGGCCCCAGAACCCAGAAGCCCTGCACCGATCCTCGACAGCTGGCAGGCTTCGTGGCCGCAGCAGGGGCCACCATCCCTGCAGCTTTCACCCTGCTGCACCTTAACACACACAGTGTCACCCGTGTCACGAGTTTTGCTTGTCTGCAGCTTGAGGTGCAGTTCCTCCCAAACCTCTGCACTTATCTCCTTGAAACTTGGCAGGCTTTGTGGCCTCAGCAGGGGCTACCATCCCTGCAAGTTTCATCAAAATCAGACAAGAACCAACAAAGTTATAGATATTTCATTGATTCCCCATTATAACCTATGGCCAGATCTCCAAGGCGGCTTCGAAGCTTTTCCAAAGCGGTTCGGGAGCTTAGAACCACTTTGGAAAGCCTAAAGAAGCCAGTGCTTCAATCCGGACATGCTGCTTCAGATGCTGAAACGTCCAAAGCTTCTCCGGATCCGAAGCATGGTCCAAAGCCTTGCACAGCCCTACTGAATATGTTTGCTTGAAAACTGGAAAATCCTGCTTGAGAATTGTTCTTGAATGCTCATTTGAAGAGCCTAACTTGTGCCTCAAAATGGGGAGGGCCAAAGTATAACTTCGTCATGAAAAATCCTTCAGTCCTGTTGAAGAGCTTTAGAGAAACAGCTTGTTTCATTGTGGCTATGTGCCCATCTCTGGTTATCAGAGAGATATTATATCTTACTGAAAAAAGAAAGAAACCTCTTACCCAGCAGTTGTACACACATGATCCATCAGAGCCACTTCTAGAGCATGGACAGCCAGTTCATCAGGTGCAGTCAGTCCTTTATGGAGATGCCATTTTAACATAAGTGCCAACTCGCTTTCTGGCTGATTGGTTAACACTAGACGTATAGCATCTCCTATAGATAGTCTCATTAACCCATAGATACTTGCAAATTTCTTGGCAACTGCAAAACATTTTGATATCAGACTTAACTTTCACCTAGGCTATAATGCAACCTAATAGTTCTGTTCGCAGGATGTTCAGATGGCATAAAATTATGATTTTCATAATTTTGGATAAACACAGTATATTACTGGTAGAGAGCCAGGACAGGTTTTCCTGGGCTGCAGCATGGTGTTTCAGAAATACTACATTAGGTAGGAAATAAAAAAATGAGGGAGGGCTCACTAGGACAGCAGTAGACACATATAATCTTACTCTTGGGAAAAGATTAAAAATAAAAATGGAAAGTTATATAAATATTTGATTTTTTTTTCTCTTAATTGTACTATTAAAGCAAAGCAAGTATAAACCCAGTTTTGACTGGTAAAGCTGCTAGAGTGGACAGGTGAATCTGTCCCTATACCTTTAAAAGAGCAATAAAAAATTAATATAAAGAGGAGGATTAAAATCATTACACTTAAATAGGAGTTTCTAACAGACAGCTCCTTGGAAAGGTTTTTTCTAGCTGTTTCTATTTAGAGCTATGCCCATGTATGTAATGGGGGCATTTATTTAATATCTAATTAGTAGGGATCTACCTAATTTGCAGGGGCTGCCCCCAATTTTGTGGGCAGAATGCGGGCCCTGGTAGCCTTTTCATGGGTAGAGTGTGGTGGGCCTCTCCATGCCTCTGCCCGAGGGGCCCCATTGGCCCATCCCTCACTGGTGATTCGCTGCAGAGACTGCCTGTTGTGTGGTCCCACCTCTTACCACTGATTAGCAGAGAGAGGCAGGGCCACATGATAGGCAGTCCTTGCTGTGAATCATTGGTGAGGGGTGGGGGATGGTAGCCATTTTGCCGGCAGCCCTTTGAGCAGGCAGTTCTCCTCCACCCTCCTTCCCCACTCCAGTGAGCTGCCATAGTGTTCAGTAAGTTTTTTTTTCCCTGCGGATTTTGTGGATTCTGCGGATTTCAAGGGCATTGCCTGGATTTTGCGGGCAATGCCTGATTTCCTGGAATCCGCAAAATCATGAATTCAGTAGGTCCCTACTAATTAGACATGACAGATTAGATTGTGGCTAGATAGACAAGGGATAGAACATATATATGTAATCAGAAAACTGGAACTGAGGCATAGAGAGATTAAGTAACCTTCAAAGTCATTTAACACACAATGTCTTAGGCGTCACGATGTAGGGTTGGTAAATGGGACACTGGGAAAATGAAATGCAGCATCCTAGGCACAGTACTAATGAGAGCCAGATCAGCAATGTGAATAACTAGTTTATGACTTCTAACTAAAGTAGTTATGGCAGATACAACCTCAATCATCAGAAAAACTTTTAGAAAGTGCTGGAACCTACCTGTGGTCTTTCCAGATTTTGGAGGGCCTACAATTGCAATCTTAACTGGCACAGATGGTTTAGGTTTTGGCTGACAGATATATTTGATGGGATTTTTCATAAATTTTTCTTTATTTTCTCTACTTGTAAAGAAATAAATATATTGCCGATGGATGACTGGGAAGATTGGAGTTTCTTGGTTTTGGAAAGGCTTGATTACATCTCCTTCACTTAGCTGCAATATATACAAACAAAAAGTTAATTACCAATACTTCTGTTTGGCATAGGTTACTCTTCTATCATACAACAGTGGTTTCATGGCCAAGTGGTGGTATGGTGCTGCTTACTGATACTAAAGAGGCAAAGACCTCTGAAAAATGGTCCATGATTATATAAGCCTCAAACAGAACCCCTCCTATGAACCAAAGTAACTTTCAAGCCCATAGAAAGCAATGGAAATAATTGACATAAAGCGACATCCTACTGAAAGAGAAGTAAAGCAGGGCATAGGATGGGAAAAGGGGACTATGACAAATTATTGGTAAGTAATTTTTCTTTTTAAGATGTCTCTCTCTCATATCTATCATCCTACAAAGATGGAGTTAGGAACAGATAGTGAATGGAGCAAGCAGTAAGTATCTCCTTGAGGTCATGGTACAAACAGTACACTAAAGACAAAAAAAGCAGCCTTAATCCTGCTGCTTAATCCAGCCTCAGCCAATGAGGACAAGGCCACCTAGCTGTTTTACATATCCTGAAAATGAATGCTGCTTTGCGTGATCTATCTGTGAAGCAGCAACTTTTCCAGTTACCAGGCACTGAACAGACTCAGGGGAAAACTACCAGCTCAAGTTATCTGCTATGAGAATGCAACCAAAACCTACCTAGCAATAGTAGTTTTAGTATCAGCAATACCCTTGTTGTAACATTCAAAATAGGAAGAGGTACTCTGAGACTGTCTACGTCTTGAAATGAGAACTACAAACCTAATATAAAACCTATAAAACCTAATTCACAACATGCCTAATATCTACTCAGTGCAGTCTCTGTGCCTAGGAAGAACACAATGTACTGACATAGAGGAAAAACAATAGGCTGGTTTGTATAGACTCTGATAATTACCTTGGGAACAAGTACAAAAAGAGACTGAAAAAAAAATCTTTCCAGAAAGAAAATAAGGAGAATTAGATAGTCAAAAGGAGTTATCAAGAAAGTGTGATGGGATAATCTGTTCTCTCTGAAGATGATGGTATAGGTAGTTAGCCAGAAATAAAAAGCACTAGTGGGCACTAGTTAATGAGCCTAAAGATATAATGGAGTAATGGTGGTGTTACAGGTTACCTTTATACCATTTTAAAGGCACTTAAAACAGGAGCATCTATGTATTAAGCAATCCTTGCAAAGCTGACCAATCCTTGCAAAGCCAGCGGATCACGGTGCTTCAGGGAGCCCACCCCTGCCCCAGCCCTGGTAAAATCTGTGGGCAAGGAAGGAGCCCCCCAGGGGGCACTTGCCTGCCTGTACACTAATGCCAGGAGCTTGGGGAATAAGCAGGAGGAGCTCATCCTCCTGCTCAGTGCAAACAATTACGATGTCACAGGGATAACGGAGACCTGGTGGGACTCCACCCATGACTGGACCACGGGTATAGATGGCTATATCCTGTACAGGAGGGATCGTGTAGAGAAAAGGGGCGGGGGTGTAGCTCTCTATGTTAAGGAAAACTACACATCCCTGCAAGCCAGTTGCCTTAAAGAAAATTAAATGAATAATAATTTTGCATTTTTTTTTTAATTCAGGAAACTTCTGGCATGATTTAGTCTCACTTCCCAGAAGGTATCCGATGCAATGCTCTCCTTCTCGAACACGTACTCCTAGCAGCACGTGATTGTTTCCCATTAGTGAAGTGGTCCAATAACTGCCTTCTTCTATGAATAAACTAGAGCAACCCTAATTTAATTTTGAGGAAAGTAATTTCACTCTTGTTTATCTCCTGGAAACATACCTCCTCATTATGGTTGATGAAATTGTGACAGCATCATGGCTGGTCTTGTTCAAACTTAGATTTGCGGTCAGAAATGAAAAAGACCTTCATGCACTAACGTTTAATTATAAAAGCACTTTTTGCACTACTCCAAAACCAAACCCATAGTTCTGTGTATTTGGCTTTTTTCTCTTTCAGGTAATGATAAAGAGGTGGAGAACCAACCTTGGCCAAATCTGTACTTAGTTCTGGGAAAGTCTGAGTTTTGGCAAATATGCTGAGGAAAATGTAATGACCAGCAAACCTGAGGCTGAGGCAGCCCAACATTTTATCTCCTGAGTCTAATTTCAAGTTTTCTGACATCTCTTAATTGACTTCAGTGCATGCATTTGATGGCATCACTTTAGTTTTCCAGAAATGCTTGCACAGTTTGGAGGGGGAAAAGAAACCATTTTCTGAGTGGATACCAGCACTGCTGTAACTATCAGTAGTAGATTCATGGCAGAACATGCTCAGATTCCCAGCAACACTGAAACCAACCACAATTTTTTCTTTGAGGTTTGAGATGGTTTGGACTATTATTCTTCTGAAGAGTAGAAAATAGGAGGATACTTTTAACCTATTAAATAGGTACTTTGCGTCAGTCTTTCATCAGTCCCATGGGACGCCCATGCCCGCTACAGGGCCGGGAAGTCCGGGTGAGGGTGATCCCCTGCCCTCCATTAATGCTGACTTTCTGAAGGAACATCTTGAGAAGCTGGATACCTTCAAGTCAGCTGGCCCTGACAATCTTCACCCCAGGGTACTCAAGGAGCTGGCGAGCATCATAGCCCAGCCTCTAGCACGGATCTTTGAAAACTCTTGGCGCTCTGGTGTAGTGCCCGAAGACTGGAAGAAGGCCAATGTGGTGCCTATCTTCAAGAAAGGGAGGAAAGTGGATCCGGCTAACTATAGGCCCATCAGCCTGACTTCTATCCCGGGGAAGATCTTAGAAAAGTTTATTAAAGAGGCCATCCTTAATGGACTGGCCGACGCCAACATCTTAAGGGATAGCCAGCACGGGTTTGTTGCGGGTAGGTCTTGCTTGACCAATCTCATTTCCTTCTACGACCAGGTGACCTATCACCTGGACAAGGGAGAAGAGATTGATGTCATATATCTTGACTTCAAAAAAGCCTTCGATCTGGTGTCCCATGATCGCCTCTTGGAGAAACTGGCCAATTGTCGCCTTGGGTCCTCCACGATCCGCTGGCTGGAAAATTGGCTCCGGGGTCGGACCCAGAGGGTAGTAATCGATGGAAGTCACTCATCGTGGTGTCCTGTGACCAGTGGGGTCCCCCAAGGCTCTGTCCTTGGACCCATACTGTTCAACATCTTCATTAATGATGTGGACACTGGAGTCAGAAGCGGACTGGCCAAGTTCGCCGATGACACCAAACTTTGGGGCAAAGCATCCACACCAGAAGACAGGCAGGTTATCCAGGCTGACCTGGACAGGCTCAGCAAGTGGGCGGACGAGAATCTGATGGTGTTCAACGCCGATAAATGCAAGGTTCTCCACCTTGGGAAAAAAAACCCGCAGCATCCTTATAGGCTCAGCAGTGCTATGTCGGTTAGCACTATGGAAGAAAGAGACTTGGGGGGCATCGTTGACCACAAGATGAACATGAGCCTGCAATGTGATGCGGCAGCTAGTAAAGTGACCAAAATGCTGGCTTGCATCCATAGATGCTTCTCAAGCAAATCCCGGGACGTCATTCTCCCCCTGTACTCGGCCTTAGTGAGGCCGCAGCTGGAGTACTGTGTCCAGTTTTGGGCTCCACAATTCAAAAAGGATGTGGAGAAGCTTGAGAGAGTCCAGAGAAGAGCCACGTGCATGATCAGAGGTCAGGGAAGCAGACCCTACGATGACAGGCTGAGAGCCCTGGGGCTCTTTAGCCTGAAAAAGCGCAGGCTCAGGGGTGATCTGATGGCCACCTACAAGTTTATCAAGGGTGACCACCAGCATCTGGGGGAACGTTTGTTCACCAGAGCGCCCCAAGGGGTGACGAGGTCGAATGGTCACAAACTACTTCAAGATCGTTTCAGGCTGGACATAAGGAAGAAATTCTTTACTGTCCGAGCCCCCAAGGTCTGGAACAGCCTGCCACCGGAGGTGGTTCAAGCGCCTTCATTGAACACCTTCAAGATGAAACTGGATGCTTATCTTGCTGGGATCCTATGACCCCAGCTGACTTCCTGCCCTTTGGGCGGGGGGCTGGACTCGATGATCTTCCGAGGTCCCTTCCAGCCCTGATGTCTATGAAATCTATGAAATTAAACTATGTTAAACTGTGCTAAGCACCGTCTAAGCATCTTAAAGTTACGCTACTTTGGGCAAAGGTTTTCTTTGAGCCGTTCTACCCAACCTGAGCCAGTCTGCTCCATGGAGATAAAGCAACCAATCTGCAGTGGTCCAGCATCCCAGGATGCACAGCTCCTAGCCCTGACAACCTTTCCACCCTCCCAAGCTCTACTGCCTAGTGGGTGGTACTGGCCTCAAGCCAACACCTGGTCCTTCCCCCAGTGGGTATAACCTCAGCCCATATGGCACCATGCTGCTGGCTCCAAGACTGAGAAGACCAGACCCAGGCACCTGGACGAGACGCCAGGCATGCAGCCCTCCCCACAGAGGCCTAAGTCTTTGCCCCATATCTGGGCAGTATCCTTAAGCCAGGAGAATTAGAGGGGGCATGGCTTCTCTCCCCAGCCTCCTGCATTCTGGTGGGGGGCGGGGAGGAGGAAAGGGCTACCTAACACTGGGCATGGCAGGGGCATGGAGCCCTGGGAGGCAGGCTTCTCTGGGCTCCATACTTTCACTGTGCTTAACCCCTGGTCAAGTAGAGAAGTTGCTGTATAGCTGAATAAGCAGTGAAGCAAATCTAAAAGTTGGGGCAGGACACAGATAGCAGCCAGGGAGGTTTCTAGGTCTATGAGTGTTTCTACCAGTGAAGGTAACTATCCAGATTTGAAGGGAAAAACAGACAACTGCTGTCATTGGAGAAGGGTCACATTGTTCAGGCTCTCATATTGTTCAATCAAAAGTATACCTGAACTTAACAGAACATTGAACAACCATAGTTAAGGGATGCCAGTTTCTGTAGCCAATGGAAAGATGTGGCTAACATTATGTCTCACTGCCTTTGACTTCACAGTTTGAATAACCAGGAAATATGCTGATGACGCAAAGTTGGGAGACATTAATATTGGGAAGAACTGGAATATCATGGATAAACTGAATAATATTAAAGACTAAAGTAATAGAAGTAGGATGCAGTTTAATAATACAGAACACAGATAATTGACAGGGAAAACATTTCTGCTTTAGATAGAAAAGATAGAGGGGGAGAAAGAGCTGGGTGCATTAGCCCATCTGTGACAGCCAGAACCAGAGGGATTAATAAGCAATAATATGTGCTTCTTGGAGGCATTTGGTATTTTGCCTAAACAGGTAATATTAGTTAATATAAGCTTATAAGTTTGTAAACTGCAAATGTAACTTGTCTGTCATAAGTTTATCCAAAATGATAAATTAACTGTTCATGGAACTGACTGGGCCCCATAGGCAAAGCTGTAGCTGTGAGATTAGCTGGTCTAACGGTTTTTTTGCTCAGTGTTTAGCCTTAGCGATAAAAACTGGATCTAACTGCTTGGCACACCCAACATATTCCAGGAAAGCATATCCCAAGAAAGCATATTCAAATGAAGCCTAAAAGGATTTAGGCAGAGGGATGTCAATTTCAAACCTAGAGTGCTGCATCATAATTTGCTTATTGGATAAACCTGAGTCTGGGTAGTAACCTTTTATGATATTTTTAACACCTTTCAATCCCATAGGGTAACAGCTATAGGGCAACATTGTGAATGGCCCTGAGGCCAACAGATTAACATAAGACTAGGTATAAAAAACACATGCATCAGGTAACCAGCAGGAAGGAGGGAACAGAACGGTCATTTCTGTTCCATGCCCAGACCCCAGACTCCTGGTGTGAGTGAGGATCAGATCCTGATCAAGGGACCTTCCCTGGTAATCCCTCTGACAGCGTCGATCATCAGGGATGCCTGACTTCGCTGGAATCACTTGGTGCGCACCTGGCATTGAGGGACTATTGATAAGTTGCCAACCCATGTCTGTCTATTTGTTGTTTTGAACAGCCCAGTGTGGCTAATACCCTCGCAGTGCCCAGTTGGCCTGCGACAGATTGATCTGTCTATCTGTTATTATTATCTGTTGTTATTATTTACTATTAGCTCTTTTATACTGCATTATCTGCTTATCGTATTTATTTTTCTGTTAACTGTTGTGTGTGTGTGTAAGCTATAATAAATTTGCCTTTATTCCACTCCCAACTTTGCCTCCTCGATCCAAAACTGAATCAAACAGCCCAGTTGGCCTGTGATAAAATTGATATATTCACAGTGCCCAGCTGGCCTGTGACACCCATCATAGGAAAACTATTAGCTTTAATAGTCTATTTTTATGTAGCCATGAAAGGCAAATGTGATGCTATAACGTATCAGCTGAGGCATTTTCATTACAGATATAAAATATGAATGCCATCATGCAAGGCATGGGTAAGATCTCATTTAAAATTCTTGAATGCAGTTCTGGTCATTGATGTTCAAGAAAGATGAACTCAGAATGGATGTCAAACTAAGCTGATCACGGGAACAGACAGGGCTTATTAGGTAAGAAACTAAAAGAACTTGGTCTGTTTAGCCTAGGAAAAGCAAAGCAGAGGGGTAATGCAGTTGCTGTCTATAAATACATCAGCTGTGTCAACATCAGAGACGGACAAGAGCTATGTAAGCTGAGGAGTGATATTGTCTTAAAAATCTATGGATATAAACTGGCCATGAATAAATTTAAGCCAGAAGTTAGAAGATTCTTAATCATGAGAAGTGAGCTTCTAGATTGGCCTTCCAAAAGAAGTAGTGGTGAAAACCTAATTAAGTTTAAGATGAAGCCTGATAAGTTTTAAAACGTGATTACATAATGAGGAGATGATACTTGGTGGCCCCTTCCTTTCCTATGTCCCTAAAAGCTGAAGTTATATTTTCTCTTTGTTTCTTGCTCTCTGTTTTAGCTTTGACAACACTTTCAGGTAGTCAACAATCTCTGCTCAATTGCAAAATTCTTCCTCCAGCAACTATACATTTCTCTTCTTCCTCCTTCAGGAATTTCCTTTTTGTTGTTTCCTCTTCAACGGGCTTTTTTTGGCTCAGCTCTGCTCCTGACATTTACTCAGTCACAAATCAAGGAACATTTCTCAGATTCCAAATATACATCTGCTAATACACTACTTCAGCCACCCACTACTCCAAAACCAAAAAGTTTTCTACCTGTCATAGCTGTTTCAACAAGACTAGTTTTAGGAATGTTTTGTTTATTATTTCATATTTCCTAGGTTCAGAATATTTTGGCTCAGATCCACCTTTATTTGCACTCACTCATAAACCTCCTCCCACATTACCAGTTCTCTAATAAACTTACCAAAGAGCATTAATCATACCTTAAAATATACAACTAAGAAGATAAATCCTTGCTATTAATAGTATTGGCTATTTAGTAAAAAATATTTCATGATATGTTTTTCATAACACTTATTCTTAGTTATATTAAATAAAGAACAGCATGTTTTGATTGCTGAAAGTGTAACTCAGCCAGTTAGGTACATTACCTTGACTGGGTCCCACTGACCAAAACAACTTGGATGTTTATAGGAAAGAACCAGCATCTTGCGTGCAAGTGGTAGACTGATTGGGTAACATTTCTCAAAAATGCTTTCACGATGTTCCACTAGATGCTTCACCTTGTTATAAATTTGGTAACGTATGATGTGAGGCTTTCGTCCTCCACTGATGGTGATTTGGGGTATTAACAATCTTTCAAGTTCTTCCTGATTTACCGGTAATTGAAACAGAACATATGATAATGCTACCAGGAGTCACATGTTATGAGAATGGGTGATATGCACAATAACATCTGGGGCTGTTACATTCAGTGTTAGATTTATCCATTTACAATCAGTGATATTGAACTAAATTCCTTGGTTACTGCACCTTAACCTCACCTGATCAATGACCGACCCCTAAGTAGTTAAGATTGTATGTAGGTTAGCATCATTATATATATAAATTAAATAAGAAAACTGTATAGTTTGCATTGACATTAAAGAATCCACTTCCATTCAGGTAAATTAAAAAAATGACTTATCAAAACCAATGAAATTACATTTTCTCTTTTACCTTTCCCAATGTATTGCTTAATTACTTATGTATAAAATATTGCTGCCCATTATCCATTGATCCATACTGAGGTCTTGAAGCAAGTTAGTGTCTGTTGTAAAGAAAACTGAGAGGGTCTGGTGTCGTGGTTTTAGAACATATGAACATAAGAAATGCCATCCTGGGTCAGACCACAGTCTATTTAGCCCAGTATTTTATATCACACAGTGGCTAAGGGGGAGAGGATTTATGCAGGGCCTTTCTAGAGTGATCTGTCCCTTGCCCCTCTCCTTACAA